GCTTGCCAGGCAGGCGCTTTTGCCGCTGAGCTAAATCCCCAGCCCCCCTTCCTCCTAATATAGCCTTTTGCCAGCTGCAGGTTCTCCAGTGCTGGTGTCTGTGTCATAAGTTCTGACTCTGTTTTTCTGTTTATTTGTCTCTAGCTTCATCTAGCAACCTCACCCAGTCAAGAGTTGCATTGTCTACCATGCAGCTGTATCCTGCCCGGGGGTAGGCAAGAGCCGGAAGTCCTCTTCTTCTGTTCAGAGCTACTATGTCCAAGCATACAATGGGAGAGGGGGCAGCTCCCCATTCTGATATTCCTCTTCGGAGAGAACCAAGTTGAGCTTGTTGTTTCTGCAGGGGTCTGAAGTCAGGGCACTTAGGGAACAATTTCTCTTTGGGGCTTCTTGCTCTCTTCCAGGTAGAACAGGTATTTTTTGGGGGGGGGGGCAGTTTCCTCCGGTACCGGGAACCGAACTCACGACCTTGCGCTTGCCAGGCAGGTGCTTTTTGCCGCTGAGCTAAATCCCCAGCCCCTAGAACAGGTATTTTTAAGAAGTTGAAATCCCTGATCTATCTTCCAGCAGAACACTGTTGCCAGAGGAAGAATGTTCTAGATGATCTTTTTGTGCCAACTTCTCAGCTCTTTAGGGTTAGATGAATCATGCAGGAAAGAAAAAAGCGACATGATATTGGCAGTAACAACAGAAAGGATTGGAACCTGCCAAAATCTAGTTCAGCCTACTCATTTCTGTGCAGGCATCAAAGTGAAATTGATGTTGATTAGGCCTCAGAGAGGTTATAGTAACTGGAAACCACAGAAAGCACAGCTGAAGAGTACCAACAAGGTACTAGAAGGTCAGAGTTATACATAAGAGCCTCTGAATGGCAGGCCTGGTTTCCTTGCCAACCGTTCTACCTTCTTTGGCTTGGTTCCAGACTTGTCCTTCCAGTAAGGACATGGAGCTGTCCAGGGATCTTTTGCCAGAGATGATGCCTGGGAATTAAACCAGGTGACTTTGGTGCTCTTCATACCAGCAAGGCAGTATGTGGTCTCAGAGCTCTCAAACCATTGACAAAGAAGGTGAGAATGAGAACGTGAGAAGCCCTGTGCTGAAGCCAAAAGGTTTGCATTCAGGACATTGCCATTTCTAAAGACAACAAACCAGCAGACAGTGCAACTCCAGCTCCCTCTTTGCCATTATGATAACTAGCTATTCTTTTTTCTTCTTTTAGACAAAAACTACCCCACACCAAAAAGGAAAAGAAATAATCAAGTCAGGGCCCCAGCAGAGACAAATCATTCTCTCAGAGGTCTCCAGTAACAGAACTTTTTCTGGTCAGAAATGAAATGCCCTGGCACCATCTGCCCCTGGGAAGATCAAGAAGGAGGTTGACCACTTGATATGGCGGCGCCAGGCTGCAGTGGGTGAGATGCGAGCAGACAGTGTGGGAGTCCGCTGGTGGAGGTCTTTTACAGTGGTTGGGTTGGCAGACTTGGGTTCTGGGTTTCACTCTGCACCTGCCTGGTCTGTGCCAATCAGAGATTGTGGAAGAATCCCTTGATGAGTGGATGGGGATGTCACTGGACACTATAGGAAGCAAGCTGTTCTTATTATCAGCAGAAACAGAAGGGGCCTTTTATGGCTTGGATCTTGCATTTGTACAGTGCTCAGTATCTACTGTCTCAGTAAACAGCTCTGTGAGCAACCATGTCAGAAATCATTTATTTTTAAATAGATGAAGAAATTAATACATGAGTAGGTAAGAGACCATCCCAAGATTACTAGGTGATAAATATCAGAGCCAGAACTAAAATATACCAGTTATTCTATTTCCTATTCTCATTCTATGGTAACCATCTGGACAACTTTTCATGCCCGAATTGATCTTCCTTACAGTTCTATTTACTTGCCAACAGATAGAGAGATTCTTTGTAAAGATTTTGACCTAAACTGTTGCCATAATTTTATAGTAACTAACTCATTTTCTGTCCTTTAAAAAAAAATCAGGAGTAAAATGACAGTATTTCCATAACAACCCTTCAACTGAGATAACTGAGAAGAGTTTGGTTCAACACAAACTACAGAATACAGGAAGCCTGGAGAGTTTGCCAGAGAACCCTTTGCAATGAGAACCCTCATTGGCTCCCAGCCAATGAGTCCTGCTATGCAGATGTCCCTTACTTCCTAGTTTTCCAATGGATGAAAAAGGTTGTGTTGTCAGACTGAGGCTCAGGAACTCTAGGACTGAGATCATCTGCTGGGATTGTGATTGTAGGAGATCCATGAAGTCTGTAGGTAGACTTGACTACACAGGAGGTCTGGGGTAGGCAAGACATATGTGAAATGCCTCAAGGGCCCAGGAGAAGGCCAGCTGGGCAATACCCAAAAGAAGGGGCTTCAGAACAAGACTTCAATTAATAGAAACAGAATCTAAATTCCTAAAAATTAGGCAAAAACTAAGGTAAGATCCCAGGAAGAAAATGGAGAAAACTGTAATTAAGGTACCAAGAAGGAGCTTGATCAAAAAGAACAAGTTGGGCTGGGGATATAGCTCAGTGACACAGCACCTGCCTGGCAAGCGCAATGTCCTGAGTTGGATCCCTGGTACCAAAAAAAAAAAAAAAAAGAACAAGTGAAGAGCTCTGTGCATGAAGCCAGAGAGGATATTAGACCGGCAACAAGGTGATGACAATGCAGTAGTAAAATACTGACTCCAGGTCACAGATGTAAATAACTTTGGGTATTGGACTGGGACAGGGCTGAACCTACATGTTGACTTCAGACGAGAAGTTCAACTGACTCTTTTGAACCTGAGATCTTTGCCTTGACTTCCCATTTCTTAGTAACTTCCCCATCCATCTTCACTCATACTCAGGTGCAAGCATCAAAACACACACACATCATGTTATTTAAAAGGCCTAATGACATTTACTAGATCCATAATGAATAGGAAAGCCATCTGCTCATTCTTTAAGTCTTGCTGATTTGCTTCCTTGGACTTCTTATGCCCTTCTTCCAGAGGTCCCAGTTCACATGTTCTAGTCCAGCTCCAGGCTGGTGTCACAGGGCAATCACCTGGAGGATGCAGGCAGATAACATACATGTGTAAAGCAACCCATGGGAGCCAATCAGGAGTTGTAGAAACTGTAGTAAACTTCAGAACATGTCTCCAAAGCAGTGACACCCAGCTCCAACCAGCCAACCAAGTGTTGTTAAAAGTCCTACTTAGGAGGAGGGAAGAAACACAGAAAGAAAAGGAGGGGAGGGAGGAAAAGACAGAGGGACACTGAGAAGAAAAATAAAAAGACTAAGAAATTCAAAATTCTTGTAACACTGCAAGTCAAACAAAAGTTCACTTGGGGCAAGATTGGCCCACAACTCAACACATTGTAATCTTTGCTTTAGCTTTTCCTTTCCTCTTGAAATTAGATTTAGGTGCTGGGTCTGGTTTGATCAGAAAACATGAGATGGAAGAGAAGCCCCACAGTAGAGCCACAGGGGCCCCTGAAACCTAAGAAAAAGGCCAACGAAGGGAAGCCAGGTTAAAAAAAAAAAATCTGGTGGTCTCTTACTAGTTTTTTATTGCTAGTATAACAAGTTACCAGAAAGTTAGCAGCTTAAAACAATGCAAAATTATTATTTTACAATTGTGTAGATCAGAAGACTGACTTGGAACTCACTAGGCTACTGTCAAGGCATCAGAAGGGCTGTGTTCCCTCCTAGAGGTTCGAGGGAGGGACTCGTGTCCTAGTTCATTCAGATTGTTGACAAAATTGTCCCTGCAGAGGTAGTGGTGACATCTTCTTTCCTTGCTGGCCTCAGGATACCCCGTTCTGAGCTGCTCAGAGGCCACCTGTATGTCTTGGCTCACTGCATTCTTCTGCCTTCATCTTTCATGTCAGCAGTGGTGGGTCAGGTCCTTCTCCTACTTTCAATTTCTCTTGCTTCTCCAAGCATCACATCTCTCTGGTCCCCTCATTTGCCTCCAAAATCCCCTTTAAAGAGCATACCTGGGTAATGTAGCATCATCTCTCTTTTAAGGTCCGTACACTTGATTCCATGTGCAAAATTCCTTTTACCATGTAAGGTAACATCATCACAGGTTCCAGGGATCAGGGTATAAGTATCTTTGGGTGACCAGCACTAAGACTTCTACTGTGGTCCTTAAACCAGCTTCCCTAGAAAAGAAAATATAAACTCAGAATCCTGCCTCTGAGTACCTTCCGAACTCCATTTTCTTTTATCTCATGCCTTATATTTCTGATTACCCTTTCTCAGTCTTAACTCTTCCCTTATTCTTCCATAAATGTCAGTGGTTCCATGGCTCTGCAGTTGTTTTTACCTTCTTACAACACACACCCTCCCCTTGGATTGGAACACATAGTGTTAGCTACTTCCTAACTATCATATTTCAAATAACGTCACGGGACACTCCCAAGCCAGCTCCCATTCTTTATTCCCTTTGGAGCTATTTGCTCATGTACATGTCTCACTTACTAGACTATATATTGCTTGTTAGAAAGTGTTTATTGCATTGCACTGGTTTTCAATCATAGTTGCACATTAGAGTCACTTGAGGACTCTTGAAAAACTTTTTTTTTTATGTAACTATAGATGCAATCACAGGAAACAAACAGTATAGCAAATTCTCCCAAACCCTTCACCAAGTGATTTCTAATATTAATATCTTAAGCAACCCTGGTACAATAGCACAATCTAGAAACTGATATTGATACAAACCTCCAATCTCTTTCAACCTGAGAACTTTAAAAAACTGCACAGACCCCAGCCCAGACCAACTGAATCTCTGAGCCTGGAGCCCATGTGTCAGAATTTTTTAAAGATCTTGACAGGCTCACTGAATACCTAAAATCAGTATTCAGCAGTGTGAAAATTAATTCCAATAGAAAAGTTCTCATGTAGAATTAAGTATAGCCATGCACTAGTTTTGAATTAAGAAAGAGAAATGGAACTATATCCTTGCTCCTGAACTATATCCTTGTAATGAAATAAATAACTTGAATATTGTAGATTAGGATTTTTTTTAAATCACATAACTCAGAACTTCAGGGTTAATCCTTCAGTCTGAGACTAACTAGATAAGAAACCTGTGCACAAGGAAAAAATAATAAAATAATGGTTTAATTTTGGTAGCAGAGTAGAAAGTGTGACTTACATTAAAAATTCAGTTTCCATTAACAGGGAGATAAACAGTGATCTCATAGTCGTAGATAACATAGTTCTGCAGGGCAAAGACTACGTTCTGTTTTTCTTTGTACCTGCAGTACCTAACAATGGCATGTGGATAATAGTTGCCCCACAAATGTGTATTGGATGCATGAGGGAAAGAATTGTGCTAAGAGCTAGAAATGTAGTAGTTTACAACTTCTCTGACCTTAGCACTACAGTATTATCCAAAATCAAATCAACAGTCCCATGTAAATATGACTGGTACAACAAAGAGGAAAAATCAAATGTTGTTTTCTTAATGAACTTTTTTTTGTCATTGCAATAATTCTTTTTTTTTTTTTTTTTTTTTTGTGTGTGTGTGTGTGTGTGTGTACCAGGAATCGAATTCAGGATCTCAAGTGCCATGCTGTTGAGCTATACTCTTGGCACACACTCCAGTAATTCTTGATGCTTTAAGAACTTTTCATTTTTTTAAGAAACTCAGGCAATTCATTCAGACTAAAGAGTGATAGAGGCAAAGGAAAGAAGAAAGAGCAAGAGACTGAGCGCTCTATCTTCAGACACACGCATCAGAGAGCACCATGAAACCTCCTGTCTTTCTACAGCAGTATGGAAAGACATCTGTCCCTCATCTGAGCGCCTCCAACTGATCCCAGTGCCTTCCCAGAAGAGGGAATGATCATTGTGTACAGCACTGCAAATGCCAGTCTTCACCCCTACGCCTCAACCAGGGCTGCAGGCCGTTAGCCAGAATAAAGGGTGCCACATTCACCGCTGAGCCTGCAATCCTCTTCCGAAGGCAAAGGGCACAGGGAAAACAATGTCACTCTCTGGGGAGTTCCCCGGGATATTCGCAATCTGAGAGGTGTTATGGGCTAACATTTCCCCCCTGGACCAAGAGCACTGGCCAGCCGGTCTTATTTAGTGGCTTTCCCACATGGGCTTTCCCCTGATTCACAGCCTCAGAGCAGGCCTGCTGCCACTGCTTTACAGCTCAGGGTTTTGCCACGAGGCAGGCCGGTTCCAAATCCCATCCTGACTCCTGAGTCACCTTGTGATCATTGGGAAACCACTGAACTCACCCTCATTGGGTCCCGATACACAAGGGAGTTGATATTATGTATCTCACAGGGTGGTTTGAGGAGAAACTCGAGATAACGTAAGTCGTGTACACAGCTCCAGGCCAGGCCCATGGTTGGGACCTGGGGACATTAGTTGTTGACTCCTTTCCCACTTTCCCCTAAACTTTTCAAAACCATGAGGACACAGTTGCCCAGGAATGATACTGTTTATTTCTATGTAATTCCAAGTGTATTTTCTCCAACAAGTGCTGTGGAAGTAGAGCAGTCAGGACACTACAAAATATAATTCCTAATACATATGTGGTCCTCTGCAAGGTTTCCATCCATTGTATGTTTACTATTACTAGGAAAGAGACTTCCTCTGGTGCTCTCTCCATGTTCTCTCTGAGCTCCAGCAGATACTTCTAAATATTAACAGTCCTTTATTGAATATCTACTACATGTCGGCAGGGATAGAAATCATAACCCTCACCCTACAGAGGAGGTAATGGAGGCAAAGAGGCATCAGGAGGCAACCAAAAATACACATCTCGTAAGCAGCTGCAAAATCTATGGTACTGCCTGGCAAGAGACAACATATGTGAATGTAGCAAGAAACCAGGCATCTAATCAGTCGTTTCTCTTCATGAGTCATGTTTGTGCTGAATGTGGGTTTGCAGATGTTGAGAGGCCAGACAAAAGGCTGAAGAGTTCTCATAAGACTGATAGTTTTAGCAAATGAAAATACAGGCCACCTCCATCGCTTGATGAATACATAGAGATGAATACATAGATGAAGACATAGAGGAAACGTGGCATCTATACACAATGGAATATGATTCGGTCATGTAGAAAAAGAATGAAATCCTGTCACTTGCAACTATGTGATTTAGCCTAGAGGATGTTATGGTAACTCAAAGAAGTCAGGCCCAGGAAAGCAGAAGTCTCTCTCATATTCTCATTTGTACATGAACCTAAAGAAATTGTTCTCATAGAAGGTGTAAACTACTGGTTAGCAGGGAAGGAGGAATGTGGGTGTGGACAGAGGACAGTTAGTGGGTGCAAGGGTGCAGTTGGGTACGAGGAATAATTTCTAATTCTGCAGCACAGTAGGGTAACTATGATGACATTAATTATATATTTCCAGATAGCTAGTAGGAAGATTTTTATGTTTCCAACAAAAAGAAACAATAAATATTTGAGGCCACAGACATCCCAATTACCCGATCTGATCATTACAGATATATACCTGTATTGAAATATCACTCTGTACCCCACAAATATATGCAATCATTGTGTCAATTCAATAAATAAAAAGAAGTTAAATGTCAATTTCACATAAGCAATGAATTATTTTTTAGCATAAGTACATCCAAATAATGCATAAAAGATACTCACACTAGAAAAAGTCTTTAGTTACTTGACATTCAAATGTAATTCTGTGTCATACCTTGGATCTAGCAAGCTTCCAAACATAAAATGGATCTGGACATTTTTAATATCTAACACTGGGGCTGGGATCTGGTTGGGGAAGGGAGTCCTATGAGGCATGAGAAGAGGAGCTACTTTGGTGGGGGGGTTACCCGTCTCCCACCCCTCAGATCCTCCCCCGGATCTTGTAAGAGTGCAGGAGAACTACAAATGCTCGGTCCCTGCGGGCAAACCAGGGACAAACTCCAAGGGGCTCCAAGGTGGAGGGATGGAATGGGAGCCACAAATCATCTGGGCACCTTGGAGCGAGGAAATCTGTGTACAAAACTTGTTGTTTCAGTTACCACTGCTCTAAATGGGCATGTATAGCCCCATCTGAAAAAATCCAAGGCCAATGGTCATATGTGACATTATGATCCTACTTCCAGCTACCATCTATCAAAGAAATTTGGAAATTAAATCCATTTATATTCGAGAACTAGCAATTTTTATGGTGCCACAGACAGAGGCCACACAGAAGCACACAGAAGGTGCTTCTTGGAGGAAACAGCTGGCACTCTCAATTTAGGATGATCTGAGGTTGGCTTAGTAACAGGACCATTTACAAAGGCATAGGAGGGTGTAGGGAGGGCAAAGGGAGGAAGCAGTCACAGATCAGCTCCAAAACCAGCTCACGGCCCAGAGAATGAGCCTGGTAGTCAATCCAAGATGGAGAGTATCCTGAAAATAAGATTTCTGTGCTAGGACCTTCACAGCCCCAGGAGACCTTGAAGGGAGGAAACTGAAGAAGTAAATACCCAAGTCTTGTCCTGTTCCCTTCTAATTTCCTACTGAGGATCCCTATTGGTTGAACTCATTCCTCAGTCAGAGAAAGAGGAGGTTCATTGACACAGCCCATCCAGGTCAGTTGGGACAGGCAGCAAGATGGGGAAGAGTGAGGGCTGGGTCTAGAGCAGCCACATAGAAGATGAATCACAAGTATATACAATCCACACTGAGGTCAGGAAGTCTTTCCTCAGGGTTCAGGCCTGAGTCAAAGTAGGAAGGAGGAATAACAGCCTGACACATCAGGGAGGGAGCTGGGTATGCTAAAAGATGATTGAGGCCATAGGAACAGCATATTCAATGTCTACAAATAAGAGGGAGCCCAACATGTTCCCAGAAGCATAGGAAGTTACTCAGTCCCACAAAAATAAGATGGAAAGCAAGTGACTAGGGCGATAACCAACATTTCTTGAGCACTTGCTATGTGCAAGACAAGTGCCAACACTTTATACAGGTTGTCTTATTTCATCTTCCCAATAAAGTTATAAAGTAAATTCCATATGTTATGGATAAGAAAATTACAGTTTAGAAAATTTAAGTAAGCATCAAGATGGCACAGCTGGTAAGTGAAGCTCTGGGATTTGGTTCCCCAGAAGCTGATCTCCAAAGTTCACACTACCAACCATGACTCTTTTGCTTCTTGTCAACAGCTGTGTATAACTGTGCTCTCCCAACCTGGTGGTACATTGGAATCCATAGGAAAGTTTTGCTTTGTTTGGATACAGTAGATTCTTAGAGAGTAGTTTTAGGTTCACACACACCAAAAGTAAGCAGGAAGTACAGAGAATACTCAGATACTTCCTGTCTCAAGGGGGTAAGCTGCTCCCTATAGACAACCTACACCAAAGTGTTACATTTACTATAACCTATGAATGTACACTAGCCCATTGCTTCCACCCAGGGGCAAGGCTTGCACTGCAGGTCCCTCTGGGTGCTATATTTTTTATGGGTTTGGACAAATGTGTCATGATCTATAGCCTCAATTATAGTGTCATACACAGCAGTTTCATTGCCCTAACAAACCTCTATGCCCCACCTTTTCACCCTTTATCTCACTGCCTAATCCGGGAAACCTTTGATTTTTTTTTTTTACCATCTTCATAATTGCACTTTTCCCAGAATGTCGTATTGTTGGAATTATACAGTATATACCCTTCTCACATTGGCATCTTTCACATAGGAATATACATTTAAACTTCCTCTATGTCTTTACATAGCTTGATAGCTCATTTCTTTTTAGTGCTAAACAATATTCCATTGTCTGAATGCATGACAGTTTTTAATCCATTTGTCTACTGAATGACATCTTACTTCCAAGCCTTAGCAATTATGAATAAACCTGCTATAAATATTCATATGAAGGATATTGCATAAATATAAGTTTCTGACTCCTTTGGGTAAACTGCTGAACCATATGGTAAGAGTATATTTAAATCAGTTAGAAACTACCAAACTGTCTTCCAAAGCAACTGGTCCTACTAGCAGTGAATAAGAGTTCCTGTTGCTTCATATTTTCACTAGAATTTTGGTATTATCAGTGCTTTGGACTTGTCCGTTCTAATAGGTGTGTATTAGTGTTTCATTATTGTTTTAATTTCCAGTTCTCTGATGACATATGATGTTAAGCATCTTTTTGGTGGGGTTTTCACTTCTGCAGGTTGATCATTTGTCCACCAATGTCCAGCTGGCTACAGTTAAAACAATAAAGAAATTAGAAAAAAGGGTTACAATTTGAAACAGATCTGCCTCTCTCTGCCTCTCTCTTAGCCTATAGCCTGCTTGAGAAAGTGGAAGACTCAAGACACGATGCTGGGAACCCTGGCTTGTCACTTTGTGTGGCTGGAAGCAAGGCCTAAAAGATAAAACAGGTGAGAGTGGTTAGCTCATGATCAGAATCAGAGGTGAAGAACTGGAATCCCTGGGAGAGGGAGATTGAAGTGATAGAATAAGGGACTCCTGCCTGTGACCTTACTTCTCTGCCTGACCATCAGTACAAAGCAAAGCAAGGGCACAGACTTTCAGACACAGAATATGAAACTACAACTGTTTGGGATTACACTGCTGCAGAATGGATAGATATTGCACCAGCTTTTGTTTTTTTTGAGACCGGGTCTCACTATGTAGTTCAGGCTGACTTGAACTACTAGGCCAGGTTGGTTTTGAACTCACAGCAATTCTCCTGCCTCAACCTATCGAGTTGCCACCATGCCTGGAAGATCTTGCACAAGCTTTTAAATTACTACCCCTGAGAGTCTGAGTGCCTGGATGGTGAGACTGAGACATGGGGGGTGGGAGGGTGGAATTTGGTGGGAAATGAAACTGAGAAAATCAGTAATATTACCACTCTTCCAGCCTGGAGGCAATTCTCATATAATGCTTGCTAGATGTAAGGAAACCATGCTCTGTTAGATTGGATCATTTAGGGCATGAGAGAGGCACAGTCAAACTAAGGGA